AAAGGCTGTTAATGGTCCCACAGACTCATTTTAAGACCAGAGGGGATCAAGCTTTTAGGGCTGTGGCCCCCAGACTGTGGAATGTGTTGCCTCTGACTTTTCATTGCATTGATTCTCTTGATTTCTCCCGATGCATGCTCAATAATCCAGGTAGAAAAATCCAAAAAAGTTCAATCTGGTCCTCTGGACATTAAAAAAACAAACAAACAAAACAAAGCAAAAAAATGTAGAAACGTTTCGAGCATGTGATCAGCTGGTTCTGGTTGTCAGCAGCAAACTGGTTGATCCACTCTGAGAAGGTGCTATTTAAGAGACTGAGCTGAATACAGCACCTCAGACTGAGGAAGTCCTCAGGATGAGAGACGAAACGTTTCTACATTTTTTTGCTTTGTTTTGTTTTTGGGGTTTTTTGAATGTCCAGAGGACCAGATTGAACTTTTTTGGATTCTCTTGATTCTTTTAAAAAGCAGCTGAAGACACATTTGTTCAGATTGGCTTTTATTTTGTTTTATTTTGTCTTATGTCATACATATGTTCTTTTATCTTTAATCTTTTGTGTTTTTGTCACATTCTGTAAAGCATTTGATGGTTTTTGACTTGTAAAAGGTGCTATATAAATAAAATGTACTTACTTACTTATGCTTCTTGTGACTGAAAAGAGTCGGTCGAAAGTTCATTCGTGAGTGTTGCTAACTTTATCTCTCTTTGCCAGATGACAGTCCACGGAGCGTTTCTCCACCAGGGCTCATTCTGCAGAAACTGGTTCAACCTGCTAGATCTGCTGGTTGTCAGCGTCTCACTGGTCTCCTTCTTCTTGCAGTCAGTATCTACATGTTGTTTTTCTGTTCAGATGTCCAGCATAACTTTCAGTGTGTAGGATGGTAGGGTCCAGAGTAAATAGGATGGAGAACATCCTGTCTGAAAGATCTCAGTCAGTGAGTCTCATCTTTTAAACCTGAGTTTGTGACTTGTCAAGTTATCTGTCTGAGACCAAGTCCTGTTGTTTCATGAAGCATGATGTAATCCTGGTTTTTCTTTATGTGACTTCAGCTCCAGCGCCATCTCTGTGGTGAAGATCCTCCGTGTTCTCAGGGTTCTTCGACCTCTGAGAGCCATCAACAGAGCCAAAGGACTCAAGGTAAGGTGCTATTCTGTGACACAACTCCTCTGTGACTGAAGGTGACGAGGAGCTTTCAGACCACAAGTTCTGGCTCATTTGAATCAGAAAACCATTTATGGATCTTATGTTTACCTGATGTTTGTTGTGTTTCTATTGCAGCACGTGGTCCAATGTGTGTTTGTGGCGATCAGAACCATCGGAAACATCATGATTGTCACAACACTGCTGCAGTTCATGTTCGCCTGCATCGGAGTCCAGCTCTTTAAGGTTCATGGCTCTGCTGGTTTAGCTGGTACTAGTAGTCCAGGTCTTTAAGGTTCAGGTCTCTGCTGGTTTGCCTGGGACTGGTGGTCCAGGTCTTTAAAGTTCATGTCTCTGCTTCAGTGTCAACATGGGTAATGACAGTGTGACCTGGAAGGGCGTGCTTGAGAGGAACAACCTCTCTGGTATGAACCCAAGCCATGTTCTCTTGTTGGACTTCTCTGCTAATCATAATTTCTCTGCTAATCATAGTTTGTCCATCGTGAACACCAAGTTTGAACATAAGGGTGTCCATAAGTGCACTTGGCACTAGGACACCCTCGGTCATAGATGGATGATTGACTTTGTAGCCATGTCATATGATTTGCAGCCATTTGTTTTGGGCGCTCCGGTGAGGAGAGAAGCTGAGCTGTCAACTGATCACCACCTGGTAGGGATTATTGAGCATGGACTTTGTTGTCACTTGGTAGGGAGTTGGATCAGTTGGTTGAGGAAAATGCCGGACAGACCTGGTAGACCCAAACGTGCAATGAGTGTTTGCTGAGAACACCTGGCAGAAGAACCTGTCAAAAAATCTTCAACTCACGCCTCCAGGAGAGCTTTAACCACGTCCCAGCTGAGGCAAAGGACAATGAGTCTGATTGAGTCAGAGTGGGCCATATTCTACACATCAGTTGTTGAGGTGGCTGCCTTGAGCTGTGGCCACACTGTTGGTGCTTCTTGTGGTGGCCATCCTCAAACTCAGTGGTGGACACCCCCAGTTAGGGAGGCTGTCAAGCTGAAGAAGGAGTCCTATTGGGCCTTGTTGGCTGGTAGGATTCCGGAGGCAGCTAAGGAGTACTTCGGGGTCAAGTGGGCCACAGCCTTGGCTGTTGCTGAGGCAAAAGCTTTGATGTGGGAGGAGTTTGGTGAGGCCTTGATAGAGACTCACAGTCAGCTCCAAGGAAATTCTGGCAAACCATCAGGCGGCTGAGGAGGGGAAAGCATCACTTTACTAACACTGAGTTCAGTAAAGGTGAGGTGCTGTTGATCTCAATCAGTGACATCATCAGGACATAGAAGGAGTACTTCTTGTATCTTCTCAATCCTATCAGTACATCTTCTACGGAAGAAGCTGAGTTGGGGACCTTCAGGGTTCATCTGTCCATAACCGTGGCTGAAGTTTTCAAGATAGTCTAAAAGCTCTGTGGCAGTAGGGCTAAGAGGGAGGTCAAGATTTGCCCTGATTTCCTTAAATCTCTGGATGTTGTGGGGTTGTCTTGGTTGATACGCCTTTGCAACATTGTGTGGACATCGGGGCAGTGCCGCTGGATTGGCAGAGTGGGGTGGTGGTTCCCCTCTTCAAAAAGGGGGACCAGAGGGTGTGCTGCAGTTACAGGGGCATAACTCTCCTTAGCCTCCCTGGTAAGGTCTATTCAGGGGTACTGGATAAGTGAGTCTGATCGTTGGCCGAACCTCAGATCCAGGAGGAACAATGTGGGTTCTGTCTTGGTTGTGGAACACTGGATAAGCTCTTTACCCTCATTAGAGTCCTTGAGGGGTCATGGGAGTTTGCCCATCCAGTCTACATTGTTTTGTGGACTTGGAGAAGGCATTCGACCGTGTTCCTCGGGGTACACTGTGGGGAGTGCTCCGTGAGTATTGGGATTGGTGGCCTGTTGCTATGGACTGTTCAGTCCCTATACAAGCAGTACGAGAACTTGGTTCGCATTGGTGGCAGTAAGTCAGACCCCTTTATGGTGGGAGTTGGACTC